CACAAGGAACTGTATGTGCCACTTCACTGGGAACAGAAACTGCTCCCCGATAGAGGCTGTCCCCTCAGATTAATGGCTGCGGTGCTGCAAAGAGGACCAGCCAGGCACGAAGATGGTACATCCATCAGGAGTCACGGCCAACCAGGTGCCTTCACCAGTCTGTGCCCGTCATCTAATGCCTTGCTTCATGTTTGTATCTCCAGGAACTTTCATGTTCCCGAAGACATGAGAGAGAAGCAAAATTTTCTGTCACACTTTTTTTTTTCCCTCTGCTTCCTGGGCCTTTGGCTTTCCAGTGGGAGTCTTGCTAAAGGTTGGGCCTGAACCACTTACAAAGGGTGAATGACCCAGAACTGCTTGAGGAACTTGGCAATCACGCCGGTCCCGCCTCTGATTTCCAAACATCATATTCCTTGTTGCAACACCTCAGTAGATTTACATATTTGCTCTCCAGTTAAAAGCAATTTATCCCATATATAATCTCCTATTTCAGTAAAATGTTTTCTATAGAAAATATTAGAAGGATGATGATGGACATTTTGAAAAGCAAAAATCCATGATTTTTTTCCCACAGTGGAACTAATATAACCATAATAAAAATTGAAACTTTAAAATGATTTAAAATGGAAGGAAAAAAATTCTTCCTGCTATTATTTAAGGTTAACACTATTAACTACTACCTGTTGAAGGATTAAATACATGAACTTCTTTCCATGTAAGAATATGTAACAGTATTTTTGCACATAGTTGGTCATATATCATGCCATATGCCTTATTTTATTCCTTTAAGAATATATCAAAAATATTTCCACATCAGCACGTGTTGATCTTTCAATCATTAATGTGCTACAACTTTAGCTGTTGCCCAACTGCTGAACATTTAAACCATTTCCAATTATATTGTTGTTATGAACAATATTTCCATGAATTTCTTTAGATAGATGTCATTGGCTGACTTGGATGATTCTGTCTGTAGGATAAACTCTTTTCAACAAAATTGCTAGGTCAAAACAAATGTATATTTAAGTTGGTTTAGATGCGCCCAAGTGACTCTTGTGAAATGACTCCGATTCACACTTCATCAGCAGTGTTCAGTTCCTCCATACTTTGCCAAAACCAAGAGTTATGGAACTTTAAACTTCTCGTCACTCTTAAGCATCTTGCTGATTTACAGTTTTCAAATAAGTGCTGAAGGAGTTGAGGATTTTTTCCAAATACTTTTTGCCATTCTTATGTTTTTCATGAAATGCTTCCTCATTTCATTCCAACAGTCCTTCATGAAATGTTGTTCATTTTTCTGCTCATTTTTTTAAACTTGTAAGGCTGTAAGATATCTCATATAATAAAGAAGTAGGTACTTTTTCTGTTCAATTGCAAATAATTCTTTCTACTGTGCCATTTATTGCTGGTCCTGTTTATGATGCTTTCATGTTGTTGTCACTGTTTTGTTGTTGTTACTTATTTGAAAGGCATCGTTACAGAAAGAAAAGGAGAGCCAGAGAGAGAAGCTTCCACCTGCTGCTTCACTTCCCAAATGGCTATAATGGGCAGCTGGGATGGGTGCAAGTACTCGTACCGTCTTCTGCTACTTGCAAGCGTATTAACAGGGAGCTGATCAGAAGCGGAGCAGCTGGGACTTCACCTGGCGCTCATATGGCATGCCAGCGTCGCAGGCAGAGGCTTAGCCTGACAAGCTCAGCAGCAGCCCCTGCTGTTACCACTCCTTAAATTAAGTAGTTAATAATTTAATTTGAAAGGTGAAGATAGAGACATACAGAAAGGGATCTTTCATGGTTAGAGGCCAAGAGCTTCAATCCTGGCTTCCCACAAGTGTAAGGGACCGAGCCACTCAAAGTGTCACCTGCTACCTCCCACAGTATCCATCAGCAGGAATCAGAAGTGAAAGTGGACCTGCAACAGGGGTGCCATGTCTCAGGCAAAGGCCCTCTTCCCTTCCTTTTTGTTTTTACCAGGTATTTTTTTTTACAAAATTGCATTTTTTTCAGCATTATTCTTTTTGAATTCTGAGTGTTGCTTTTAGGCATCCAGTCTTTTGCATTTGTGTCTCTGAAGATTCCGCTTCACTGAAGCACAGCTTGATTTCGATTCCATATGCCACCTGGTACAGGTGGAGACACAAGGCTTACCAAGCCAGGATGGTTTGGAGACAGGCAGGCACTGCATCCCATGCCCCCACTGTCCCCTGGGTGACCTCCTGGCCCTGCAGAATGCCTTGTGTTCAAGGGGAGGGAACTCTCCTTGCCTGCAGTGCCAAGGTGAACAGTTGGCAATGTCAGGAGGCAGTTACCCCTGTCATGACCGTGGGGGCTCCGGTGCCTAATGGGTAGAGACGCCTCCTAAATAGCTGGCAATTCTTGGACTCAGCATTGTGGGCCAGTGGGCTAAGCTGCTGCTGCTTATAACACCAGCATACCAGACTGGAGTGTAGTTCAAATCCCAGCAACCCTGCTTTCAATGTAGTTTCCTGCTAATGTGCCTGGGAAAGCAGTGGAAGATGACCCAAGTGTCTGGGCTCCTGCCACCCACGAGGGAGGTCCAGAGTTCCTGGCTGCTGGCTTCAGACTGGCCTGATTCCAGCTGTCATGGTCATTTGGGGAGTGAACCAGCAGGTGCAACATTTCTCTCTCTCTCTTAATGTCTGCCTTGCAAAGAAATAAACCTTTATAAACCTCCTACAATTCTCAGGACAGCCTCCCTATAGCAAAGAAGCATTTAATCCATCATGCCACGTCTGAGAAACTCGGTTCTAATCTTCCTAGAACAATCATCCCACTTAGGCAGTTATATACAGCCTCTGCCACGGCATCTGATCCATTTATTTTGAAGAACACTAAATTTTATGATGATTTCTCATGGCTAGTTTTCATTTAGACTGACAGCAAGAAAATGGCATGGAGGAGCCAGCTCCTGGTATAGCTGGCTACATGTAGTGGACTACATGTGGTGCCAGCATCCCACATGGGCACCAGTTCTAGTCCTGGCTGCTCCACCCTTCCAGTTCCCTGCTTGAGGCATGGGAAGCAGTTGAGGATGGCCCAAAGCCTTGGAACCCTGCACTTGCATGGGAGGCCCCAAAGAAACTTCTGGATTCTAGGTTCAGATCAGTTCAGTTCTGGCCGCTGTGGCCACCTGGGGAGTGAATCAGCAGATGCAAGATCTTTCTCTGTTTTTTCTTCTCTCTGTAAATCTGCATTTCCAGTTTAAAAAAATCTTAAAAATAAGTTTCCACCTACTCTTGCAACTGTCTGTCAAGGCAATATTTTGTACCTCTTACTGGGTTCCAGCAGGAAATACCCAATGTCAGCCCATCTCACTGTTAGTGATTGGTTAAGTGATAACAGACAAATTTCTCCTTTAGAATCTCCTTCTTTTCTGTACAATAAGCTTGCAAAATGTTCATGGAAAATGTAGCTTAAGAAAAGAGAAATGCATGAATTTCTAGAAACGCCTGTGCTGGGGTTATGTTTTACTGCCCCATGTGACCCAGCCCTGTGTGGACGCCCGTGCACTGCGTGATCCTGACCCCATTGCCTTGGTTTCCTGAGGCACTGGGAACGAGACACTCACAAATCAGGGGACTTGTTTGTTGTCTGGAGACTGAAAGCATGAAAATAATGTGTTGGCATGGCTATGTTCCCTCTGAAGCCTCTAGGGAAAATTGCTCCCTGGACTCTTCCAGTATAGGCCTCTCTTGACACAGTGCGCCCTGTACCTCTGTGTCTTCTGACAGGGACACCAGGCACATGGCATCTGAGTCCTACTCTCCTATGACCTCATTATGACTAATTATATCTGCAGTGACCCTGTTCCCAAGGAAGTGTATTCTCTAGGGTGCTGGGGACTAGCTCTCCAGCACATCCTATTCAGAGGACACAAGTCGATCTCCTACACCAACCTGCAAGCCTTTCACCCAGTGCTTTTCTCATCCCCAGGCAAGCCTTGCTTGCCCCGGTCACCACCTTGGGGATTGCACAGCGGGGTCTTTCTTCAGTCTCCTCCTTTCTGTCACACTTACTAGTTGGCATTCGCCCGTAAAGAAGAGGGGTTTGTTCCTCTCCCTTCCTCATTTCACCTCCATTTCCCTTCTCCTTCTCTCTTCTGACTCACGCAGAATGCTTGGTTTTTGCTTCATATTCAATCATCAGTGTTACAAAGTGTTAATGGTCAAGTTATCTCAAGCTTGACTGCTGAGATGCCCTTAGTGAAAACGTGCAAGTAAGTATTTCAGCTTTCTTAAATTTAAACCTTAAAAATAAACAGATGAATACTCCAGTTAGTTCATCTCTCCCTGTAGGTCCTAGTTCTAATCTTCCATTGGGTCAGGCTCCCATTTTCCTGCCTGGAGCAACTCTGCAACTGTCTGCCATGATAAGAATCTCACCCTCATTCCTACAGAACATCCAGAATGAAAGCTGTTATTTACTGGGTTTTCTGCTTTATACAAGTTTTTATAAAATAGCTATTTGAAAAGCAGAGTGACAGAGGGCAGGAGGAGGCACACACATACACAGCAAGGGACGGAGATCTTCTATGTGTAGTTTCACTCCCCAAAGGACTACAACAGCCAGGGCTCGGCCAAACCAAAGACAGGAGCCAAAAATTCCATCCAGCTCTCCCACATGCATAACAGGGAGTCAAGTACTCAGGCTGACACTTCTGCCTTCCAAATGAATGAATAACAAAACTATACATGTTTAAGGTGATATTTGAGCCAAGTTTTGAATGAGCTGAGGACCTTGGTCATAGAACCCTCTGGAAGAGCAACAGATACAAAGGTTTTGGGCATGAACTGTCTGTCTTGCTGAAGGCACAGCAAGAGGGCTAGTAGAGCTGGAATGCAGCAAATGAAAGGGAAGCATTTTATTTATCCAAGAAATACTTAAATAGCCCCTACTAATAGCTCTATTTTAAGTACTGAAGAATATTAACTAATCCTCATTGCAGCCATGTGAAGTGGATGTTTATATTCTGTTTTTCAGAAGAGGAAACAGGTTAAACAAGTGCTCCCAAGTCACACAGCCGTCAGGAGATGGAGGTGGACATCTCGGGTCATCTTCTGCGCGACAGACAGGTGTGTAGCCATGGAGCATGTGCTGCTCCTCTTAGCAGTAGGAGGTGAGGGATTGTAAGAGGGGATTGGATCCCAAAGCCAGCTAAAGAACACTGGTAAAAATTTATGGTTTGGAGCCAGCATGGTGGCATAGCAAGCTAATTCTCCACCTGTAGCAGTGGCATCCCATATGAGTGCCAGTTCTAATTCCGGCTGCTCCACTTCTGATCTAGCACTCTGCTAATGGCCTGGGAACACAGTGGAGAAGGGCCCGATGTCTTTGACCTCTGTACTCATGAGGGAGACCCGGAAGAAGCTCTTGCCTTCAGATCAGTTCAGCTCTGGTCCATGGAGGCGGTGTGCCCACGGAGGTGGTGTGCCCATGGAGGTGGTGTACCCACGGAGGCGGTGTGCCCACGGAGGTGGTATGCTCACGGTGGCGGTGTGCCCACGGAGGCAGTGTGCCCACGGAGGTGGTATGCTCACGGTGGCGGTGTGCCCACGGAGGCAGTGTGCCCACGGAGGCAGTGTGCCCACGGTGGCGGTGTGCCCACGGAGGCAGTGTACCCACGAAGGTGGTATGCTCACGGTGGCGGTGTGCCCACGGAGGCAGTGTGCCCACGGAGGCGGTGTGCCCACGGAGGCAGTGTACCCACGGAGGTGGTATGCTCACGGTGGCGGTGTGCCCACGGAGGCAGTGTGCCCATGGAGGCGGTGTGCCCACGGAGGCGGTGTGCCCACGGAGGCAGTGTACCCACGGAGGCGGTGTGCTCACGGTGGCGGTGTGCCCACGGAGGCAGTGTGCCCACGGAGGCAGTGTACCCACGGAGGCAGTGTACCCACGGAGGCAGTGTGCCCACGGAGGCGGTGTGCCCACGGAGGCGGTGTGCCCACGGAGGCGGTGTGCCCACGGAGGCAGTGTGCCCACGGAGGCGGTGTGCCCACGGAGGCAGTGTGCCCACGGTGGTGGTGTGCCCACGGAGGCAGTGTACCCACGGAGGTGGTATGCTCACGGAGGCGGTGTGCCCACGGAGGCAGTGTGCCCATGGAGGTGGTATGCTCACGGAGGCGGTGTGCCCACGGAGGCAGTGTACCCACGGAGGTGGTATGCTCACGGAGGCGGTGTGCCCACGGAGGCAGTGTACCCACGGAGGTGGTATGCTCACGGAGGCGGTGTGCCCACGGAGGCAGTGTACCCACGGAGGTGGTATGCTCACGGAGGCGGTGTGCCCACGGAGGCAGTGTGCCCACGGAGGCAGTGTGCCCACGGAGGTGGTATGCTCACGGTGGCGGTGTGCCCACGGAGGCAGTGTGCCCACGGAGGCAGGGCCAGGGGGAAGCCTAGGCCAGCGAGGTGCCCGGGGAGATCAAGCACAGATCTCCCTGCAGAGCCCTCAGAGGGAGCCAGAGCTGCCAAGAGCTTGACTTCAAACTCCTGGCCTCCTTGACTGTGAGAAAATGCCATGCTGTTGTTTCTGCACCACCCAGTTTGTGGTGATTTGTTATGGCAGTCACAGGAAGCGAACCAAGGGCCAAGTGACATCAGCTGACCCTGATCGCTCTTGGGTGGCCTTCTTTTGCCCACCTTGAAAATCCCCTCTGGTTCTTTGTGCCACTCCTAAGCTTCCAATTACAGGCTCCCAAATTGGAGTTCCTTTTGCATACAAATATCTCTTTATCCAAATGAGAAGAAATGTGTCCTGCATTCCTTTCTCTCCGCTGAAAATCCTAGCACAGTACTTTGAACAGAGTGGACTTGCTGTAATTGGCAAAATGAGAACGCAAGCTTCTATGTGGCCATGTGAAAATGGAAAATTACCATTGCTACCAACTTGCCTTTCAGAGGGAATGATAGCAGCATTTCCTGGAAACAGTTTATGTACCTGTAACAGATGATACCTCTGAAACACCCGTTCCTGCTGGAGCAGTTTCTCAGGAAAGAAAAAAAAATTGCATGGGTTTGTCGCCTCCGCCTTTCCAGCGTGGAACTGAGCCAGCTAGCCCTTCTCACCATGGGGACAAGGCAGGGGCTAAGGAAGAAAGTGGAAGAGCTGAGGATTGCTGCTTGCTCAGGAACTCTGGGTCACTGGACATGTACTTCGTAAAGAACTGCGGTGTTCAAATCCAGTCCACAGATGTGGCATGTGTGCGCCCGCACACACACCCATGACCCCACGCTAACCTAATTGTCCCAGACTCTGAGAATAGCTTTTCCTACTAGCAAAGTACTATGGGATGAGAACTCTATTGGTGGGAGCTTCACCCCAAACAGGCCACATCTAAGCTGAACTTCTCAGACTTAGAGGCAAAGTCAAGAACATTCCGGGGCCAAGAGAGAAAAGCGTTCCCTGAGCGGCCGCCAAGGAGCCACACCCTCGGCTCAGCCCTGCTGTGTGCTCCAGGGCCTATTTTTAATCATGGCTCCTCAGAGCTGCTTCTTCAGGGGTCGGTGATGATGGGCCTCTTTTGCCGCCAGGGATTTTACACCCTCAAGAAAGGAGAGGACTGGGAGGATGCAAGTCGACCACTGACAGTCTGGGCCTGAGGAGTCCTGGCTGTCCATCCAGTGAGGAGTTAAAATGGAGCCGCCTGCCTTGCCCGCGCGTCCACCTTGTTTGGAGGCCCCGGGAGAGAGACTGGCCACAGGGCGTTTATAACTCGGAGCACAGCAAAGCAGGCAGGGCAGGAGAGCACGCCTTGTTTCACTGTGCCAAACCAGCACTTCTTGTGGCCGACGCTTCTCGAATGGGAAATGTCCAGTGTCCTTTTCCTCCCTCGGGCTGACCTTCAGCTCACTCCTTGGGGAACACAGCTTCGTCCAGGGCTCCACCCAACTTTTCTCCCAGGTCAGCCCTGCTAGCCTCTGAGAGCAGAGCCTTGCTGTTTATGAGTGGGAGGGAAGAGAGAGAGAGAGAGAGAGAGAGAGAGAGAGAGAGAGAGAGAGAGAAGCTGAAATCTGCAAAAGGGCAAAGGGTTGCCCGGCCTGGCCCTGCAGCTCCCCTGGCTCCCCCCTGGGAAGTTGGGGAACCAGAATCCCAGCCACCAAGTGCACTGCCCTTGTTTTCTCAAGAACCCTCTACCTTGCAGAGCCTGCCAGGAAGCCGGCGGCGCTTTCCCGAAGCAGCAACAACAAGGACAGAGCGTCCTGCCTGCTGGAGCCTGCTGGCCGCTCACTCTTTCCACTGCCTTTTGTTTTCATGCATCACTCCTCTAGCTTGCTTCTCAGATTCCTCAGTGCTTGCAAAAAGCCACAAGCACTCCACACAGTGACACCATCCAGCTGGCTGGCATACAGTGCCACCACACAGCCTGCCCTCTAAGCCCTGGCAACTGCCATCCAGCTGCACACCTAAGGAGAAGCCAGGAGGTGTCCAGAGAAGGCCGGCCTCCATCAGGCCAGCTGGCCAGGGCAGGACGTCAGAGTACACACCTCCTGGTGACCCCAGTCAGAGTGCTCTGTCACTCAAGTTGCACTTGCAGCATAAATATTTCACTAGTCTTCCTCAAAGTTGCAAACACAGCCAATGCAGAGGTTACCAGGCAGGGCTGGGGCAGGCTCCCAAACCAGTGAGCACTCAGTACCAGGCAGGGCTGGGGCAGGCTCCCGAACCAGTGAGCACTCAGTACCGGGCAGGGCTGGGGCAGGCTCCCGAACCAGTGAGAACTCAGTACCAGGCAGGGCTGAGGCAGGCTCCCGAACCAGTGCGCACTCAGTACCAGGCAGGGCTGGGGCAGGCTCCCGAACCAGTGCGCACTCAGTACCAGGCAGGGCTGGGGCAGGCTCCCGAACCAGTGCGCACTCAGTACCAGGCAGGGCTGGGGCAGGCTCCCGAACCAGTGCGCACTCAGTACCAGGCAGGGTTGGGGCAGGCTCCCGGACCAGTGCGCACTCAGTACCAGGCTGGGCTGGGGCAGGCTCCCGAACCAGTGAGAACTCAGTACCAGGCAGGGCTGGGGCAGGCTCCTGAACCAGTGCGCACTCAGTACCAGGCAGGGCTGGGGCAGGCTCCCGAACCAGTGAGCACTCAGTACCAGGCTGGGCTGGGGCAGGCTCCCGAACCAGTGAGAACTCAGTACCAGGCTGGGCTGGGGCAGGCTCCCGAACCAGTGAGCACTCAGTACCAGGCTGGGCTGGGGCAGGCTCCCGAACCAGTGAGCACTCAGTAGGTCAGACACACAAACAAATGGGAAGGCAGATGCCCGACTCCGGCCGCACAGTCTTCTATAGCATCTTTATATATCTTTATATATAGAAGCATGCTCTAAAGTTGTCCTACAGACTCAGGAAAAGCAGGGCCGATGTAGACATCTATTTTTTATACTGATTAGAATGTGGAGCCAGAAATTCTCATATAACCTTGATAATCATAAAAATTGATCCGGCTGTTGTGGAGAGCAACCTGGAGAGCAGTGCAGGAAAGTCATGGGTTTGCATCTCCGATTCCCTAGCAAATTCTATTCCCAATGCAGTCCCTGGAATGCTTGCACATGTGTCGAAGGAGACACAAGAGCACATGAACCACATGTGTTACACACGGGAGAATAAATAGGTTCTAGACTATTTTGTAAAGAGTTACTACAACACAATATTACACAAATATGAAGGATCTTAATTAGTTCATGGAAAACATGCGTTATGAAGAATCTCCTGGCTCCTGGCTTCAGATTGGCTCAGCTGCAGCCATTATGGCCATCTGGGGAATGAACCAGTAGACGGGGGACCTCTCTCTCTGTCTCTCCTCCTCTGTGTAAAATCTGCCTTTCCAGTAAAAAAAAAAGTAAATCTTTTCTTGTAATTTTTTTTAATTGGAAAGTCAGATATACAAAGAGGAGAGACAGAGAGGCAGATCTTCCCCAGGTGACCGCAACAGCCGGTGCTGCTCCAATCCAAAGCCAGGAGCCAGGAACTTCTTCCAGGTCTCCCACACAGGTGCAGGGTCCTAAGGCTTTGGGCCATCCTTGACAGCTTTCCCAGGCCGCACACAGGGAGCTGGATGGGAAGTGGAGCAGCCGGGATTAGA